CAATGCCGTTCAAACCCAGGTTCCGACGACTGGAGTAAGTACATGGATTTAGTCCGAAGAAGTGCTCAGAGAGGTGCAGCTAAGCAGCGCGGCCCCACAAGACCCTGGCCGATGTCTCGTTGTAGTCAGACATGTCGCATGACATCCCAGCAGCGCGCAAAGGGGTGCCACCGTGCATCGGGATGCTCTGCCATCGCTCTGAGTGGGCGCGTTTTTGGGCGGGCCAGGGCAAGAGACCCGCGTGCCGACTTCCTCGCCCGTGGCACGGGTCAGTGCATTCTCACATACAGTGGATACAACGATTTGCGTTGACCGATACAAGGGCATATCAAGGCTTGCACGCAGTTTATTCAGATCGGGAGGAGTTGGTTCCGAAGGCGTCCTGGTTCAGGCCAATGCAATCCGCCCAGGTCCCGTGGGCGGCGGCGGCCATCGCGGGGCTGACCTGGATCTCTCTGGCGCTGCGGCCGCAGGCCGCGCTCCCGATCGCGGCCCCTGAGCCGCGGGCGACGCGCGAGCTCGCCTGCTCGTGCGAGGAGGAGCTGCGAGAGCTCCTGCGGGCTCGGGGCGAGCTGGAGCGGTTCCGGCTCTGCGCGCTGGCCTTGCTCGCCGCCTGCGCGGCGCTGGTGGTCTGCGCGGCGGCGCTCGCGCTGCTGGCGGCAGGCCGCCGCTGCTGCGCGGGCGGGGCGCGGGCCGCGGTTCGGCGGCGCGACGTCGCGCGGGTGGCGCCGCAGGCCGCCCTGCCCAGCCCCGAACTCCTCTCGCAGCTCGCGGCTCGCGAGGTTCGGCGGGCGCGATGGCTGCCGCCGTCGTCGACGTCGAGCGGGCCCTGGCGATGGTGCTGATGCGGGGCCCCACTCGCCCCGCCCGCGCGTGGCGCCACCTCATCCTGTCGCGGCGGCTGCGCGATGCGGCGTGGCTGGCCACCTCGGCGTCGGAGGCGGTCGAGAGCGTGGATCTCTCGACGGTGTCACTGGTGGCGCTGGCCCCAGGGGCCGCGGTGGCCGCGGGCCAGGCCGGGGGCTGCCTGATGTGCGACGATACGGCCATCGCTAGGCTGCCCGCCCTCCACGCGCAGGCCGCGCGGCTGGCTGCTGTGCTGGGCGCCCCCTCGCCCGACTCGCCCGCGGGCGCCGCCTCCTCGAGCCGGCGCGTCGCGGACACTTCGGCCGTCGAGTTCGGCGAGGGAATGGCCGGCGACATTGTGGGCAGCGCCACCACCGGGGTGACGCGTGGCTCGGTCGGGCTCGCGCTGGTGGGCCATCCGGGCCGCTGGCTCGCCATCGAGCTGGCGCCGCGCGCGGAGGTCGCGGCCCGGCAGCTGGACAGGCACTTTGGCGCGGGGCGCGACGCCAGGATCGCGGCTCCGCCCGCGTCCGACTCAGCGGCGGGCATGCACCAGCTCGGCAGCTAGGGCTGACGGCCGCCGCGTATCGCGCCAACTGGGTGCGAGCGTCGGGCGTGCACAGCGAGGGCGCCGTGGCCTGGGAGCACAAGCTGCGCTGCCAGGTGCTCGGGCTGGCGGTGGGGCACGACGGGCTGGGCCCCACCAGCTGTGCCTCGCTCGAGCTCGCGGCGCGGCGCGTGGCCCAGATCGAGCGGGCTGTGAAGGTGAACCCCAAGGCGCCCAGCTTCGAGGGCCTGCGTCGGATGATCGAGCACGTGCAGGACGAGCAGGGCGGCGTGCAGACGCGGGAGTTCACCGCCCACGTGGCGCAGCAGGCCGAGAGCGAGGCTCGCATCTTGAAGCAGAACCGCTTGCTGCGCGAGGAGCTGGAGGCCAAGCGGAAGGACAAGGACAATAACAAGGACAGGGCCAAGGACAAGGACAACTAGGGCCAGGGCGCGGCCCCGCCGGCGCGTGGCCCCAGCGGCCGGCGGGTCTTTCTCTTCGGGGCACTCCACCGCTCCCTTGCACGACTACGGGGGCGGAGACTCCGCTGCAGCAGCAGCCGATCTCGAGACTGGGGCAAGGCAAGAACCTACAGGAGCAGGTCCTCAGCGATTATGGCGTGGCGCTCTCCGCCCTGTCTCGGGCGCAACCTCGACGTCCCCTTCTACGCGGGCTTCGAGGCAGTGAACTCGACTTTCTGGTATGTTCAGCTTGGCAGCGCCGAGCTTTGATGCGTGCTCGCGCGGCCCTCGCCCCCATGCTCCAGGAGCCGCCGCAGGAGACTGAGGCTGGTGCGTTGTCCGACCTCCTCCACCCTGACGACTTATACGCTCTGACTGGCGGTGCCGCGCAGGGCGCCTATGACCTCTCTCGCCCGCGGGTGGCCCGCGGGGATCTGCGCCCAAAGGAGGTGGACGACATCGCGCCCTCCGAGGCGGCAGTCTTCATCCGCGACCCCGCGACCTATATTCTCAAGACTGATGCTGAGCTGGCGGCCGATGTGGGCGCCGGCACTCTCCGTGGCAAGCCGTGCTGGGATCCCGTCCTCAAGGGATCGCGTCGGAACATGGTCGACTCCTTGGGGGCGCTGCACTCCGGAGGGCTCCTCACCTGGCGCCGGCGCACGCGCAGCCGTGTCGGGTGTTTCTCGTGAAGAAGGATGGCATGCTGCGTCTGGTGCTGGACGCGCGCTGGACCAACCGCGCGCGCAGGAAGGCGCCGCTATCACGTTTGGCGGCCCCGAGTGCACTGGCGAGGCTGTCCGCTTCGCGCGAGGCCCTGACGCTGGAGGAGGCCGAGCTGCGGGCCGCAGGCGTGTCCGTTGCTGCCGACGACGCAGGTGCGGACCACGAGCTTTGCGGCTTCAGCGTCGACCTCACCGACGGCTTCTACCAGTTCGAGAGCGAGCGGATGGCGAGCTACTTTGGTCTGGACTTCATGCTCTCCGTCGACGAGATCGAGGCCGTGTTCGTGATCGTTTTGCGCGACATCTTCGACGAGCTGGAGAGCGGGCTTAGCCCGGTCTCCCCACACGAGCGCCTCGAGGCGTGCTTTCTCGGCATGGCGATGGGTTGGAGCTGGGCGCTCTAATTCTGCAGCGAGACGATCAGCGACGTCATGCGGCGCGCGCTCGAGACGCACGGGCTCCCACACACGCTTGTGGGGGACCGCCAATATCCGGCCGCCCTCCATCCCTGGGCACCCGCCATGGCCCCCTACGCCGACAACGTGAATATGTTGGCACATGGGGCGGATCACGGCCGGGCTATCTTCAAGACCTTGGTGGAGGGGCTCGAGGCGCGCGGCTTGGTGCTGCGAGACCATGTGGACGCTCCCCGCTTCGAGCTTCTGGGCATAATGCTGGACGGTCCCGCTCAACGCCGACGACGCACTTCGAGGCGTAGCTGGCGACTCTGGTTGGCCCTGGGTCATGTACTTCGGTCGCGACGGTGCTCGGGCGACGGTCTTCGAGTCTTGCTCGGCCACCTCTGCTATCACTTCGGCCTCAGACCCGCCTGTCTCAGCTGCTTGCAGAGCGTCTACCGCTTCGCGTTCGACCACCTGGGCCAGGTCAAGGTGGTGCCCGCCGAGGTGTGGGATGAGCTGTGGGTGCGTCGCGCCCTCGTGCTCTTCGTCGACGTCAACCTGGACCGCGGTTTCTACCATCGCGTCTTCTGCTCGGACTCCTCGGGCGGCGGGCGCGGCGGCTTCGCGCTCCACGAGACGCCGGCCAGCGCCGTGGAGGTAGCTGGGCTCGGCCGCTGGAAGGAGCGCTGGCGGTTTCGCGAGGTGCTCCGGGCCGACTCCAGGGAGCCCGGCTCCGTGCCCAGCCTTGCGGCGGCGGTGGCGGCTGAGCCAGGCGCCGAGCGGGCTGACGTCTTCGCTGGCCCAGCGCAGAGCGATTCGCGGCGGCCCGACGCGTTGCTGGGCGTAGTGGAGCGCTCGCGCCGCGAGGTCGCAACCAGGATGGAACCCCGAGCGTCTCGCGCTTGATCACCCATCCCTGTCGGTGGCGACTCGTGCTGGCTGGAGCGTGGAGCGGCTTCAGCGTGACGCTGCCGATCCACGTCCTGGAGTGCCGCGCGTCGCTCATGGGCCTCCAACGGACCGCCGTCTCGACCGCCGCGGGGGACACGGTGGTGGCCTCGCTAGGGGGCAACATGGCGGACGTGCTGTCGACGGAGCGCGGGCGGGCCTCGGACTTTGGCTTCAACGCGCTGTGCCGGCAGTCCTGTGCGTGGCAGCTCGCGGCTGGGCTCGACTGGCGGCGCCGCTACATCGAGTCCTCTCGGCGTGTCTCGGACCGCGACTCGCGCCGAGCTCATCCCGGGGAGCTGCAGCCTGGCGACATCTTCATCCCCTCGGCCAAGCAGCGCAGCATGGATTGGCAGCGTTGCGCCGCGGTGGCTGGCCAGCTACAGGCTCGCAGTCGGCCGCGGCCCGTCGCGAGCCCGCCGCCGCCTCCATCGCAGCAGGCGTCCGGCGGCAGTGGGGTCGACCGCGCCGACCGGGTGGCGGCCCCCCCCGCACGTCGTTTCTTTTCGGAGTTGTTCGCTGGGCGCGGCTCTCTCAGCGGGCGGCTCATTCAGGCAGGTCTTGCGGTCGCCTGCCCCTTCGAGAAAAACGACGGTGCCCACCTCGACCTCTTGGGCCCCGGAGTGATCAGCCTGGTGCTCCAGAGGGTCTCACCGGGCCGCGTCTGGAACGTTCACTTCGGCACCCCATGCACGTGGGCGTCGAGGGCAAGATCTACGGGGACTACGCATTCTGTGGCGGCCGTCTTGGGGCGCGAGTGCGCGGGCGTCTCGGCGAGGTTCTCGAAGGCAATCAAAAGGGCATCTCGGAGGCACACGATATACATTACGGTCGAGAGCCCGGTTTCTTCAGCTCTGTGGGACTGGGATCATATGGCCTCTGTCCTCAAGTCCCTCAATGCCAAGTTCGTCTCGTTCGATACGTGTAGGTTTGGGCCCCCCTACAAGAAGCCCACGAGGTTTGCCTTCACGCTCCCTAAGCTGGATGAGTTCCTCGATCTTCCGTGCACGTGCTCGGGGCCTCATTTGATCCCGCAGGGCAAGGTCACGATCCCGTGCGCTGGCAAGTCTCGCAGCGTGTGGCTCACAGAGCTGGCTGGGAAGTACCCCCCACGTCTCTGTGCGGCCGTCGCGCAGTGTGCGCGGCGATCGGCGCCCGCCCTCGCGACTCTCGGCCATGGCGCACCCGCCTGGCGCTGGACAGCCGTGGAGGCCGTCGTCCGAGCCCAGCGGCCGCTCCCCAGGCTACGTCCGCTTCGATGCCCGGCCAGAATGGTTTTTGGCTGGGAGCGGGCTACTGGCCCCCGGGGCGCACGCTGCCCCCCCGGATGGGCCCATGTCGGCCCCGGCTGCTGGAACTCCGAGGCCGACCAAGCGAGGCTCCGAGGCGATCGGCGTCGAGGCCGAGCCGCCCGCGTTTGCCCCGAAGGTCAAGCGAGTCTTGCAGCCGACGTCGAAGCGCGTGGCCAGGCCCGCCGCCGCCGCTCCGCTCTCGGTGACCGACGCTGCGCTCGCGGCGGTGCCGGGGGCGTCCGAGCGCTCGCGCAGGCCAGCCGCGGCGAACGTGCCCTCGCCGAAGGCGGCGACCAGGATCGCTCGCAGGCAGGTCGTGGACGCGGCCGGACCGAGCCTGATGATCTCGGACCTCGCGCAGGTGGAGGCGCGCTCGGTGTCGGACGAGACCAGGAAGTCGGACAAGTCGCGCGCCCACGCGTTCGCCAAGTTCGAGCTCTACGCGTTGCAGGCAGGCCACCGGAGGGAGGCGCTCGACAACCACGACACCCTGGACCAGGTCGCGGCGGAGTACATCAACGACGAGATATACTTGAAGGGCGCGGACGCGTCGGCGCCGCGCGTGCTGACGTGCGCCATCATCTTCGCCAAGAGCCTGGCCAAGGGCAGCTTGCCCCGCAGCCGCCGCGCCATCAAGGGCTTCTTGAAGGACGAGCCGCCGACGTCGGAGGATCCGTGCCCCGTCGAGGCCGCCGCCATCCTGGCCGAGGACCTCTTCGAGCGCGGCGACCCGATCGCCGTCGAGTCGGGCCTCGCCTTCTCGATGCAGTTCGATGCCTTCCTGCGGCCCGGGGAGGCGCTGAAGCTCAAGAAGGAGGACGCGGTGCTCCCGTCGGCCGCCGGGCACAAGGAGACCTGCGTCATCGCCGCCCAGCAGGCGCAGAAGGGCCAGGCTCCGACACGCACGGCGAAGTCAGGCGAGCACGACGACACCGCGGTCGCCGGCCTGCCCGGCCTCGGGCTCAGCTTCGTGCCGACGGTGCTGCAGCACCTCCACAAACCCACGAAGAAGGGGGAGCTCCTCTTCGAGTCCCTCAGCCTGGCCCGCTACGAAATGGAGCTCAAGGCGGCGGTGGCCAGGTGTCGCCTCGACCGCCTGGGGATCACCCCCCGCAGCGCCCGCCGCGGTGGGCCCAGCACGGCCGCCAACCGGAACCTTCTCTCGCTCGGAGAAATCAAGAAGCGCGGGCGTTGGTTGACCAGCAAGAGCGTGGCGCGCTACGAGAAGAAGGGCAAGCTGCTGCGCCAGATCTCGCTGACGGGCGCGAGGGATGTCGCCCTTGGTGCAGCTCTGCTCGAGGTCAAGCGAGGCTCGACAGCTTCGACGATCGGCTCGCACGCAGTGCGCATGGCGGCTAACATCGTGAGGATCCGCCGTGGTCAGCCGCTGCGCGACTAAGGCCTGATAGCATTATGCTGGTCCTCGGTCCAATCATGCTGATGCCTCGAGTTAGCCGTCTGATGGCCTGGTTTTGGAAAAGGATTGCGCGGCTTGTCCCAATGCCCACCCACCCTGGCGACAAGACCAATAGGTTGGCAGTTTGGCAGGATTTCTTTCGCGCTGTTTTTCTGTTTGTGATGCTGGATCTGATGCGATCCCGCTCAATGTGGATTCCTCGGCGCGTCGCCGAGCCTTGAGTCACAAAGATTGGTGCCCTTCGCTCTGCGTCTTTCTCTTTTCGTTTTGGGCTCATCTTTGTGGCTATGCGCCTGTTCCGCCAGCATTCGCAATGTCCCCGCTAGCGTAGATAATAATTTCCAGCTCGTACGCAGTTTATTCAGAGCAGGAGGGGTTGGTTCCGAAGGCGCCCAGCCCGCCCTCCCCTTTCGCCTTTGAACCGATCGCGCTGCTCTGTTGTATCTAGCTGTGCTGGCAGAATTTCTCTCTCGCTCGAGTTGTTTTTCCTGTTTGTGCTGCTGGATCTGATGCGACCCCGCTCAATGTGGATTCCTCGGCGCGTCGCCGAGCCTTGAGTCACAGAGATTGGTGCCCTTCGCTCTGCGTCTTTCTCTCTTCGTCCTGGGCTTACCTTTGTGGCTATGCGCCTGTTCCGCCAGCATCCGTAATGTTCCCGCTAGCGTAGAGAATAGCTCTTGTTTCCCAACACTCTTATGTTGGGTTCTCGTATTGAACAGAGCATTGCGGTCGCATATGTTTTCTTTCTTCCACCGTCCTCTTGCCGCCCTCTTGCGCTGCTCCCTGGGTGGCTGCGAACTGCGCAACTATAGCCACTGTCGTGGGTTCGCTGTGAGGCACGGCGGGGTAGGGGGGTAAACGGACCCAGACTAGACGTCGCAGCTCCCTGGCTGGGCTGCGACTTGCGTAGCCGTCACCATGTTCGCGGGTCTTTGAGAGTTCCAGCGGGATCGGGGGCCACGCGGATCCAGCCGGGACCTCGCAGTTCCTTGGGCGGACTGCAAGTTGGCATGGCAATTGTCACCACGTTCGTGGGTTTCCGGGAGGCACGGCGGAGTAGTGGAGTACACGGACCCAGATTAGACCTCGCAGCTCCCTGGGGGAGGCGCTGTGAACCGCGCAACTGTAGCCATTTCCGTGGGCTCCTGGGAGGCATGGCGGAGTTGAGGAGTAAACGGACCCAGATTAGACCAGCCTCTGCCACGGCAGCTTCGGACAGAGAAGTGCACACGGTTGTCCCAACAGTGGCAATTGTCCTGTCACTCTGGGCTCGCTCGTGGGGGGCACGCCTGCGCATTGTCAGTGCACGGCGGTGCCGGCCTCGCGCAGCACGCCACCTATGTGCACCCATGCTTTGCTCAGCGCGCCCGCGGCATCGTCTATGCCAGGCGATGCGGCTGCGCAAGCACGGCGTGCGATGTCTTGGCGCTCCTACGCATCGTGCCACGCGCGCTGGGGCATTGTTTCTGCGTCCCGGTGCCAGCGCACTCGCAACACTTTGCCTGTTCGCACCTGCGCGCCTTGGGCATCGGTATGCTCATTTGTGCGCCGGAGGGCGCGCAAATGCAGAGGCACGCCACGCTTGTGCCCAACCATGCGCCGTGCCATGCATGTCGGGGCACCGCTTCGCCCAGCTGCGCGCCTTAGCGCGCGCAGGCTGGCGCACCAAATGCATTTACGTTTGGCCAAACCCGTTTCTAACCACTTCACCGAGTGCCTGCTGTCATCGATGCTGGATTCTCCCAACCGCATTCAGGCGACAATCGAGCATGCCACACGGAATAAAGTTCACAGAGAGAATTGGAGCGGGCCGGGCCGGCCGGCGCGCGCTTCCAGCCCGCGGGCTCGTTCGCCGTAGCGCACGCCCCCCACCTCAGCAACATCACCGCCTCAGCGAACAGGAACAGTTGAGGCACATGCCAGCCGATGCGGGCAGTGCTACCTCGCTGCGCACCGCCTCTCAGTTATGCATCCACCATCGGGCGCGACCTCCCTCCAGCATGCAACCTGCTGCGGGCCCAGCACTCGCCTCGCCCAGCACGCTGTCACTTGCTGGGCCGCCGTCAGGCGGGAGGAGTGTCTCCGTTGAGGTCTCGCCGATTGGCGCAACGGCTTTGCGCCCCTTCACCATGGGCGTGCCTTGTCGGTCCGCGCCGCAAATCCAGTGATCTGACTGCGGCCAGTGCTTGCAGTTGAGTCGGCGCCCGACGATCCAAGGGCTCGCGCTCCACACGGTTCTCCGCCTCCATTCCGACGGGCCGCCAGGCGCACGTAGAGCCCAGCACAACATGTTCGTTTTGTGGATGCACGCGCATTGGTTTGCGATCGAAGAATGTATTCATGATTTCCGCCGGGGCCTTCACGACGCACTCATTCAGTTTCATCGGACATCGCTTTCTGAGCTGACATGGCGCCTGCTCGATGGCGACCTCGACCTCGTCGCTCTCGGTTTATCCGCTCAACTTCGCACGACTTTACATGTGCATGCCCGTTGTCTCGCATGCAGTACATCGTGTTACAGGCCTTCTGTTTCCACGCCGCTGTCCACGATTTCGGGCGCGCGGCGTCTCTGCCGCATCCTGGGCCCGTGGACAGGCGCGCGGAGAGAGCGGCCGCGCGCCGAGCCGCGGCGCCCCGCGACAGGGGCGGCGCGCACGTCTGCGCGCAGCTCTGTCGAGCAGGACGCGCGCGCGCGCTGGCGCTCCCGCGCCCGCGGCTGCGCGCCGCAAGTTACGCGGATGCCCACCCAGGGGCTCGCTGCCCTCTCCGTTTTCTTTTTCACCACGCCACGCACCACGGAGCACCAGTTGCCGCTGGACAGGCTGGCGGACGAGGAGGGCGCGGGAATCCGAGAGAACGCAGAGGACGCATCATACCCCATGGCGAGGAGGACGACGCAAGGCAGAGGACTAGGACAACAGCCGGGAAGAGGAGGAAGAAAGTAAGAGGAGGTGCGAATATTGCGTAAACGCGAAGTAATATCGAGGCACCACCGCCACGCATGTCTCGGATCCGCACAGTTCTGTCTTCGCTCAGCCTCCCTCCTCGCACTCCTCAACCATTCCCTCCATCCTCGCGCCTCCCACAGATGCGACTGCCCGCCGGGCGCCTGCTTTGCCGCGACCAACTCCCGCTTGCAGCCGCAACCCCCGCCTGCAGTCGCCAAGCAAAGCGACGCGACAAAACGCCGCTGCCTGGACCTCCAGTCAAGCGCAGCGCACATCCTGTTGCGCGCGACAACTACCATCCGCAGTTGCGAGCGCGATCCCCGCGAGACACAGCGCGCCTGCTGGCGCGGGCGGTGGCTGAGGGCGCTTCCTCGCCAGCAACCGCGCGAGCGCGCGTCTGTGGCTCGCGCGCCCTGAGTCGCGCCAGGCCACTCATCGGTCAGAGCTTGCGCCGCCACTTCGATCTCGCGCCCGCGCGCTGCAAAGACGGACTCGGGATCGACTGACAGCAGTGCACATCAGTGAGGTTCTGTGCCTTCTACGAGCTCATTCGCCGAGCGGCGGCAGCAGATTGGACGGCGTGCGCCAGCCCTGCAAATCAGCCCCCCGCGCCCGCGCGCAACGGCAGGGGGGGCGCATATGCGTCCATCGCCATCTTCATCATCGCAAGGACCACCATCACCGTCGCCATCATCATCATCATCATCATCATCATCGTCATCATCATATGATCATCATCATCATCATCATCGCCACCGTCACCATCGGCGCGGCGCAGCCAACAGAGCCGCCCAGCAGGGCCGCCTTGGCGCGCGCGGCTGGCAATCCACGCCGGCGCGCAGCAGCCGCGAATCGCCGCGGCAGCGCGCGCGCGCAGCAGCGCCGTTCGCGGCGCGCCGCACCGCGCGCTGCGCGACTCATGGCGCGCCAGAGCGGTGGCGCGCGCACCGCCGTCTTGCGCGACCCACCCAATCTTGCGGTTGCAGGAGGGTCAGCGCGCGTCTGCCATGCGCATTCGCACGCGCTGACGCAATGGCCTGTCCTGGCGCCGAGCCCCCCCCCCCCCCCATCGGGCAGGGGGCGGGCGGGCCGCGCCGCGGCGGGCTCAGCGCCGAGATCGACGCGCGCATCGCCCAGGCGAAGATGAACGCGCTGCCACGTCTGACCGCGCCCAGAGTAGCGGGCCACTCGCCCGCGCTGGCAAGCGGGCCCAGCGCCGACCGCGGGGCGAACGAAACAAGGAACTGCCAGGATGACCGCGCCCCACCCATCCACGAGACTCACGCGCAAGTCGTGAAACGCGGGCCCCCCGGCCAAAACGCCACCTCAAGTCAGCGGACACTCGCGCCGCCGTGCGTCGCGGTCGTTGTCTCTCTCAATTTGGCTATCTTCCCGCGCGCCGGATATTCGCAGTGCGCTGGCAGGGGTTGTTCCGCGTAGTTCTGCAACGCAGTCGCGCGATTCCCGCCGCAATCGGAACGTCGCTAATTTGCCCCGCCCACGTCTGCAGGCCTAGCATGTCCAGCGAAGCGATGCCGCTCTAGTGGGACGGAAATGCGGGCAGCTATCACGATTGGCCAACAGTGGGGGCATCTACGGCGGTTCACGGCTGGGCGTTGGCCCACATGACGCAAGGGCAGTTCTAGCTGTGGTTTGGAATGACCCACTCATGCATTGCAGCCGTTTTCTATCGCCGCGCCATCCAGATCGACGAAGGCGCAGCGCGCGCTTTGGCCCGACGCGCGCGCAGGCATCCGGCCGCGAACGGGCAGCTGTCTACACTGCGCGTTTCGCACCAGCTCTGCTCGCGACCTTTTGCAGGCCCGCGGCGCAGGCAGTGGGGGCGACTAGCTCTGCCAGACGCGGCGCGCCAGTCGTTCGTGATCTTTGCGGATTAGGCCGGCAGGTCTGGGGTGCGCGCTGGTTTTCTGGCACGCCTCGCTTGGCGGATGCACGACAGGGCCCGTGCCGTCGTCCGGCTCGGGCCCCTGGCGCGTCTTGCCTTGGGGCCGCCACTGGCGGCCGCGCCGCTGCGGGGCCTGCGCCGCAGGTCAGCCCAGACCTCCGGCAGGTTCTGCCTTGGAGCTGCTGCCAGCGGTTACGCAATTACAGGGTCCACGCTGTCACTTGGCACAAGTTTCTGACGCACCCTGCAGAGAGAGCTGGGGCAGGAAATCGCTGCTAAACCCGCGCGCGGGAACGGTGTCCGATGCGCCCTGCGCGAGAGCAGCCGCCATCAGTTGCTCCATCTGGGCGTCGGGCCACCGTGCGACGAGTCCCACAACCGCATGTGGCACTACACCGCAAGCGCCGCTGCGACGAGAACATGGGCGGTGCATCGACGACGCGCGTGGGCATCACGAACGGCACCGCGACAACAAGTGCAGCAACGACAACTACGACTGGCGCCACAACCTGCAGCACTACGCGGTGCACCTGACGAGTATTCGCAAGCCGCCAAACGGACCCTTCAAGGCTTAATTTCAACCACTGACCGAAACGCTACCATAGCGCGCGCGTTCGCGCTAGGCTATCGGGGCGACTGCGCACCAAAAAACGCCCCACCGATTGAAAGCTCGGCGAGCAGGCCCGTCGATCACGACCCGGCCAGCACCCCTGACGTACGACTGCTCACACAGTTGACGCACGAATGTGCGATCGCGTCCGCCCGGCGCCGTTGCGCACGCAACGCCAGCGCACGCGCGGTCAACGAGACCCAACGCCTGACGCGCACTTAAGAACGCTGGCGCAGTGCGTCCACTGCG